TCACGGGGAGCACCATGGCGAAGAACAAAGTTGCGCAAGATGAAAAACGCAACTTCCTTCGCGGTTGCTGCGGGTAGTGCTGCCGTCTCTGCGTAACGCGTGAGGTGGTCCACACCGACAATTATCCCCCTATTTCCAGAAGACGACGCGGGAAGTGGTCCGTATAAGTCGATACCGACGCGGTCAAACGGACGCGCTGGACAAGGCAGAGGCTGAAGTATACCGGCATGGTGTTGAGTGGGGACTTTACGTCGCTGGCATGCAGTACAAGCACGTACGTACTTGCGGACAAATGTGTACATGCCGCGCGAGTAGTACAGCTGACGTAGACGGTTGTACGTTTTGAGAGCGCCAGCGTGAGCTCTTTGCGGGTCGTTGTGGAAAGCAGTAAAGATTTCCGAGCGCATGTAGTTGGGTATCACTAACAGCCACCTCCAACCTTCAGACGTTTAATTCCGCCGATAGAGTAGGTCGCCTCGAATAGCGAAATGTGTGGCTTGACGGCGAATATATAGTTCTTGAGACCGAATTAGCTAACGGATTAGTCAGAAAGGCGAGGAGTTGGGAAATCCACACATCTTTGCGTTGTTCCGATGCCTTGTCTGTGAAGTCGATTGGTGTTATGACAGCTGAAGGAGGTGACGAGGAGGTTGGGTCAGCCGGTAGCGGCGAGCGGGATAGCGCATCAGCGTCGGAGTGCTTGCGGCCGGATCGGTATACAACACGAATGTCGTATTCCTGTAGGCGAAGCGCCCAACGACCAAGGCGCCCCGACGGGTCTTTGAGCGATGATAGCCAGCATAGAGCGTGGTGGTCCGTGACGACTTCGAAAGGGCGGCCATAAAGGTATGGGCGGAACTTCGTCAAAGCCCAGACAATTGCGAGGCACTCTTTCTCCGTGACGGAATAATTACACTCGGCTTTCTTGAGGGTTCGACTCGCGTAAGCGACCACGTATTCTTGGTACCCTGGTTTTCGTTGAGCCAATACAGCACCAAGACCGACACCACTGGCGTTGATGTGTACCTCCGTAGGCGCATCGGTGTCAAAATGACGTAGTATTGGAGGTGATAATAATAACCGCCGAAGCGCGGTGAAGGATTCGTCACACTCTTTTGACCAAGCAGAAATGCCTTTGGAAGTTGTCAACAGGTAGGTAAAAGGCGCGATGATGGAAGAGAAGTTGCGCACAAATCGACGAAAGTATGAGCACAGGTCGATAAAACTTCGAAGCGTCTTCATGGAATTGGGCTTCGGATAGTCGGCCACGGCGCGGAGTTTCGCCGGATCCGGGAGAACACCCTCTTTGCAGACGACGTGACCCAATATAGTGAGCTGACGTGCGGCAAAATGGCACTTCTTGATGTTAAGTTGAAGGCCAGCAGAGGTGAGACACGTGAGAATAGCACGAAGACGAACAAGGTGAGTCGAAAAGTCGCGAGAAAAAACGACGATGTCGTCTAGGTAGCAAAGGCACGTGTTCCACTTGTAGCCGCGAAGGATGGTGTCCATCATCCTTTCGAAGGTAGCTGGAGCGTTGCAGAGTCCAAACGGCATGAGGTTAAACTCATACAGCCCATCAGGTGTTACAAATGCAGTCTTCGATCGGTCAGGATCAGCCATGGGAACTTGCCAATATCCTGAGCGTAAATCTAAAGAGGAGAAATATTCTGGCCCTTGCAAGCAATCGAGAGCGTCGTCGATGCGTGGCAACGGGTACACATCATTCCGAGTTATCTTATTGAGCCGGCGGTAGTCGACACAGAATCGGATAGACCCATCCTTTTTGCGCACAAGTACAACAGGGGACGACCAAGGGCTCTGCGATGGCTGGATGACACCATGCTTGAGCATATCGTCGACTTGTTCGTTGATAATACGGCGCTCTTTCACTGAAACTCGATATGGTCGTTGGCGTAAAGGAGCATGAGTACCGGTGTCAATGTGGTGCGTGATGTTCGCTGTGCGACCCAAAGATGGTTGAGCGCAATCGAAGGCAGAACGGAACTCTCGAAGAAGGAACAAGAGTTCCCTTCTTTGTGTCGGCGATAGCTCAGCGGCAACAGAGGGCTGGAATAAGTCTGGCGCGGGCAGTGTGGCCACAGGTGGCGTCATAGCATTGAGCTGGAGGTGAGGTGCGTGTTCGGCGAACTCTAGAGGGCGCAAGAGGTCAACGTCTTGTATGTTACCCAAACATTCTCCGCGAAGTAAGGTAACTGGCGACGATAGCGAGTTCACGACGAGCATGGCAGTAGCACCGGATTCCACGGTGAGTACGGCAAAGGGCAGCTGTAGGTTACGGCGGCGGGTAAATACGTCAGACGGAGTGTACAAAACAGTTCCGGCAGGAGCGGCCGTACAGGTCAGGGCTACAAGGGTGGATGTTTTCGGCGATATTTCCGTGTCTGCAACAACGACAAGTTTGTAAGTTTCAGAAAGAGAATCCACCAAACAAGAGGTTGGCAGCGGTGTAAGGGCAACTTCTGCACTTGAGCAATCTATGATGGCCCGATGACGCGAAAGAAAGTCCCATCCAAGAATGACTTCGTGGGAGCACGATGCCAGCACAAAACATTCAATGGCATAAAGTTCACCTTGGATAATGACACGTGCAGTGCACACAGCTGTAGGTTCTATGCACTGCGAGTTGGCCGTGTGGAGCATCAGGCCCGAAAGAGGCGTCGTCACTTTTTTTCAACTTGCGGCATAAGGTCTCGCAGATTATGGAAACGGCGGCCCCTGTGTCGATAAGCGCTTGTGCGGCGGTCCCCTCAACATTGACGTCAATAACGTTTTGCGGCGAGAAAGATGGAGGCCTTAAGCAGTTCGAATTGTATGCAGCTGTTGCCTCCGGAGCTGCAGCGATCAGTTTCCCTCTTCCGTAGCAGGTCGGCGACGCATAGGTGACAGGAAGCGTCGTCGGGGCGATGGTGACCGATGGTTTGCGTAGGGTCGAGGACCGTCAGTGGTGTACCTTGATGGTGTCCTAGACGACGACGCCATTGGTCTGCCCACCGTGTCGACTGGAGGGGGATCTCGGCGACAGTGGTGGGCGACGTGTCCAGCGATACCACAGGCGAAACAGATGGGCCTATTATCCGGCGTCCTCCAAGCGTCTGAGCGACGGCAAAATGGAACTGAAGATCTCGCGTAGGAATACGGCGCAGCAATTGGGGTTGTAGGCACGACATAGGGTGGCGTGGCAGGTTGAGCATATGGCATACGCTGTTGCGTAGGCCGAGCAGTGACTGCGGCGTACGTGAGAGGCGTAGTGACTGGTGGTTGCTGATGCACCGGCGGAAGGGCCTCAGCGACTTGGGTCCGAATGACGTGTTGGAGGTCCCGTGCCAAAGCTTGCATGGGCTCATGTGTCAGTGGCAGAAGTGACAGCTGGCGCGCTACCTCTTCGCGAACGAAGTCCTTGATTGTCGAAAGCAGCGGCTGCTTATTGGTAGGATGGGCATCTAGGTGCAAGCTTGCGAGCGTGCCTGGCATCGTGAGGCCTTGACGAGCAATGGCGTGCTGCCTACGCAATTCATCGAAGCTTTGACAGAGGGAAACGAGGACAGCAATTGTGGGGGGATTTCTCGCGAGCAACATCTGAAAGGCACCGTCGTCAATGCATTTCAATATGTGCCTGATTTTTTTTCTTCCTCAGGCATGGTAGAGTTGATGCGGTTGCATAGATGCAACACATCTTCAATGTAGCCCGTGTAGGTCTCGCCTGGTTGCTGCGCACGGTGACGTAAACGGGGCTCGGCTTGAAGCTTGCGTGTGGCAGGTCGTCCAAAGACGTCCGTAATAGCCGTCTTGAATGCAGACCACGTGGTAATGTCAGCTGCGTGGTTATTAAACCACAGTTGCGCGGTGTCCGCAAGGTAGAATGTGACGTAGCCCAGCTTACTTGGGTCGTCCCATTTGTTACTAGCGCCGACTTTGTCGTACCTCGCCAACCAATTTTCAACGTCCGACTCAGTGGAGCCCGTCAAGATAGGAGGGTCTCGTTGAGAATACACGGCGCCGCAAGTGACATGGAAGGTCGAAGGTCCCACCTGGAGAGGCGTCTCGGTGGCCATGTTCGTGTCACGTAGAGGGGGAAGCTTACGGGAGTGAAGTTCCAGGTTTGTACGGGAGTCCACACACCTCCACCAGATGTCATGCAGTTTATTTACGTCCAGACCTACCGGAAGGCCGAGGAACGCCAGAAGAGCGAGGAACGCCAACAGGCCGAAAATACAAAACAAACGCAAGCTCGGGTTGCGCGTGTGCACCAACGCTGTGGCTTGCCGTTTCATGCTGCTTCGTCGTCGTTCGCATAGTTCCCTACATCCCTAATGACACCAAATGTACCAGTTCACTAATTAACAAGATACATTAGTACGCAAAAACAGAACATTCTGTTTTGCATTTCGTTCGTCCAGTTCATATTCCTTCCATAAGAATTATTACGGCAATAAGTAATCTATTGTGGCAAAATAACAAAGCTGGGAGGAGAATATAACAGTGTTTTAGCAGCGAACCGTCCCACCCTACTGTCCATTTGTCTGTTTTCTGAGCTCTGTTGGTATACATGTGACTAAACATGCAGTCTATGATGAGTTTGTCCACGAATATATGCGAAATGAAGGCTTCCTCTTCTTACCTTTGTTTTTCCTTTTTTACGAAACATGGTGAACCTACAAGGCTCAAATCTGCACAACAAAATACGCACACACTTTGAATGAACTCGAACAGATGTAGCCAATTACGGTAAACAAATAAATGTCCAAGCCGACCGACAAAAAAAGGATAAAGCGCTAATCTGAGCTTTATTCGCAAATTGCGTCAAATATGTAGACTTGCGCGAGCACACAAGAAACACCCGAACGTATCGCCAAAACTGGACACCACCATAACGGAGCAAAGATTGATAGATGGTTCGCCTGATTACCAACACGCCCAATCCTCAACACTTGGGGACGTATGCGTGCCTTCAGTAATGTTATCTTCATATCTTCCAGTACAGGCAAGCAAGACAGACACCCCACAGCCCAACTGCACCGCAACATTTGTAAGTATATACAGCTTCTAGCAGAAATAAATGAAGGACTAACTCGTAAAGTCTTCTCGCGCGTTTTATTTTGTTTTTTTCTTTATGGAAAGTGTGTGTACGTCCATGTTCTCTGCCGTTCGAGATGGGTCGTTAAAGGGGCCCTCCGACACTATTCAAGCCCCCATGTTTTATTCGTGTGTTGTGTAGACTAAAGCACAAAAAGACTAGTGGAGCAAAAACGGCAGTGATAAGAGCACGCAGCCTGAAGTTATTCGACTTAGAAAATTCCAAATACAAAAAAATGCTGACCCTCAACGTGATTTTCGCGGGGTCACTTAACCACATTTCACTCGCCCATGACGTCGGAAGTTGCCCCAACGAAGTAAGCTGGAAGCACCTACGCAGGGTAACCTCGCACCCCATTGTTGCTCTTTTTTTTTAAATAAAATTGGCCTTGTGTCTAACGCCTGGCTTGCCAGAACGTGAGCGGGAGCTACAGTGTGGAAGCGAGGTATGTTCTGCTGTTTTTTTTTTCAATATTTTGAGTCAATCCGTCCTCTTATTCTGAAAAGAGAGAGGGACAGAATTATTTTAATGGAGAGCTGGAGAGGTTTGCCTGCTTTTTCACCTGACAGGCTACTCCAGGTGCCGGGTGGTGACAATAATACATACAATGATAAACACACAACGCATACAGTTACATACACGTCACATAACACATACAATCACTCACACGCACTGTACTATTTACAACGTTTCGTTCAAGCCTGTGGCCCGTAAGAATGTCAGTAGCGCTTTTGTGGAGTCTAACGCACTGGAGCTGTTCTGCCATGGGCCTAGAATATTTTTCAACTCCATGTTTGTGTCCTGTTGTATTTTTAAGGCCATCTTCAGGGACTGTCTTTCTGATGCGTATATCGTGCACTCACAGACGGCATGATTGATGTACTCAACGAGGTTACATTGCGCACAAAATGCTGAGTCGGACAGTCCAATTTTGTTCCTGAAGTAATTCGTATATGCAGCGTTTAATCGGATGCAGTGTAAACATGTTTAATCTTGCCTCTTGAGATTTCGCGGCATCCTGAAGTGACACGATGGATAGATTTTGTACAGAGGACCATACTGTCGGCTAGGGTCTGTCCAGAAGGATCGCTGAAGGCGCCAGGCGTGTACCGACACTGGCGTTTCTGCGTCTTGCCTCGAGAAAGGTATCTCGACGATTTCTGTTGAAGTGCCATGTCCAGCTTTGGCAGTGACCTCAGCCCGGATATTACCTTGTATTCCGCAGAGGGCAGGTATCCACTGCAGAACACTGTGGTGATGGAGATCACAGGCTTTCTTGCATAGGCGCTTGATGTCCATGACGAGTTGCTCCTGTGTACATGGAGACTTCAGCGACTGCAGTGCTGCTCTTGAGTCAGTGAAAATGGCCCAGAACTCGGCTGTCAGGTCCACGATGTAATTCGTGGCAGCCCACAGTGCAGCCTGTTCAGTGGCTGTAGATGAGGTGCAGTGACTGATAGTGGCAGAGATGGTGACATTGGCAGGTTTAATCTAGACGCCAGTGGTGGATGATGTAGACGTAACAGAGCCGACAGTGTGAATATGACGATGCGCTATGTAGCAGCTTTTTAAATGCTCTAGAGTGAAATATCTGAGCGCTGGTCCGGGTGTTCATCTCTTGCTCTTTAATCCTGGTACGAAAGTGACTATGGTTCACGAAGGAGTTTTCCACGATAGTTCTGCATGCATTGATCCTCTCTGGTAGTGTAGCGGGAGGAGGCTCCGTACAGGACTACTGTCCTGTCTGAAGCATGCGGATGATCCGGCACTCTGGTGGCATAACGCAAGTGGACTTGAAGAAACTCCTGGTGCAGAAGAACAGGAGCTGAAAGGCGCCTTCTTTCAGCAAGTGTTTCGATGTTCGATGTGTTCTTTGGTAGTCCAAGGCACACCCCTCAGGGCATTTGCTTGAGCTCCAGTCAGTGCTTGTATGTTGGTTCGAGAAGTCGCAGAAAGGCTGAAACGCAAAAGACCTTCACAGAGAGCGGTATACATTCGTAACACAGCATTAACGGAACAGCCACCGGCATTGTGGAATTATGGAACGGAACCTATGGAATGACCAGAACAGCGAAGTACTGTTGACCTTTCGCGCGCTGTTCGGTGAGCCACCTGACGAACAACAATTAACAATAGTGCACTGCACTCCTACAACAGCACACGTGCGAAAAGATACAGCTCGCAAACACCAAGAATTAAGAAAAGGGAAGAGAGAGAGAGGGGTCTTTCCTATTGACATCCGACCCACGCAAACCTAAAATCTAGTGGTGAAATCGCAGCCAGCGTCATGGTCGTGCTTTGAAATCGCAGTGTTTTTTTTTTCTTTGCGGCCGCGTCTGTTCAGGGTTTGATGAAAAAGCACAAAGAACGAATATGAAACAGCTTAGTAAGCTCAGTTTCAATCCTACACTGCGACCGCTTCCAACGTTACATTTATCCAATCATATGGCGGCAACCTTGCGGCGTCATTTCCGCTTGCAAAGTTATGGCGAGCGCCACTACGTGGTGATGCGGTCGGCAGCAATGTAGCGACTTTGTTGTGTGATCAAAATACTGAATCATTTGATATCGGCGTTTAAACCTATCACAAAATTATCTCCAGCAATCAGCCCATGCAAAACACAAACAAAAAATTGGTGCTTCAATAGTGTTCTAGAGCCCCTTTAAGGAACTCCTAGGTGCGCCCAAACATATATTTGTCCACCTACATTTCTTCTGTTGAGAATTCGGTTTCGGCATGCCAGAACGGAATTTTTTTACAATTCTTGTAATATTCTTAACACCCTGAATATCTGTGCTTGCGCTTGGTTTTCACTAATGCTCTGAGCGAATGTCTGCGATATTTAAAACACTTCTTGGCGTATGAACATTGTACTTTATAAACTTGGTTTAGGCCATAGTCTTAATATGTAATGTGTATTGTCCAGCTGATTGCCCGACACTTTCACGATGAGTCACAGCTTGCTGCTTCGCTGATTTAAAGTAAACAACAACAACGACAGATACGTTATGTCATTTCCACTTTCAGCTGCACGTGCAAAGAATGACACTATTGTTTCTCTTTCACACACTTCCGGTTAAACGCTTACTTCCAATTTTCAGAGTATTCAGGAAATTTTTTCTGAAACAAAACTGGTACGAAAGGGATAGTTCGGGTTCAAGTTAAGGGATATAGGTGCATATATGATAACGGAACATGAAGTTATTTTAGGTAAGGGTCCAATAACTGACCAAGAATGAATAAAAATTAATTAAATGAGCTCATTAAAAAGCAGATGTTATTCTTGTGAGCAGTTGAGATCACTGCGGCACTTGGCGGCGCAAATCTCAACCACGTGCGTCTTTCTACGAAGCCCTCTGAGATTCGCTTCGGCAGGGCAGTGAAATACGAAGTTAAACTGGATACACCAGAGAGCACGAACGCCCCTATAGACACAATCAAGTCAAAGATTAGAGTCGCCTTCATATTTTTATACTGAATTTCACTGTGAAATTTGTGCAACGTTTATTCAGAATACCGCACTAATTAATCAACAGAGCAGTGACGACGATCGAAGCTTTAGCTTTAACTTAACTTCGTGACAAGCTCTTACATACAAAAGTTTCCAGTCCAGACTCATTACTTTACGGTGTACAATTTAGTGTAATTGTCGTGTACACATGTGACATATATAGCAGCACTGAAAGGGTCACAAGTGAACACAAGGGCCCTAATTGCATGTTAGAGTAAGCCTTTGAGAGCGTTGGCACAGCGGTATCACAGTCGGGTAACACGTAAATTATTATGCTGCAACACGCTGACTGCAGAGACGAATGAATGTAGCGTCATTATTCCAGCTTCGTTGACACCATATATAGCGGGCTTACTGTCGTGATAAAGATTAGTTGTACATAAATTGCACTTTTAAGCTTTGTTGGTACACTTTGAAAACAACCACTTAAGTCCAGTCTGATAACAAGTCCGAACACTACCCACGTATCCTGCCCTCGTTCAATTAAGTACCAAACATGTAAGGGCCATTGACATCAATGCCACGCCATGGATTTCCCGTTAGTTTCGCCATGGTCGTATTTTCACGTGTATGCATTCTTAGGTTTCGAAAACGTCACAAATAAGGTGTCTCTGTTTTATTTGTTGCTTGCTTTAAATACACGATGAAGCGCTACTAAGATTAATTTGTCCTTATTCCGCACAAAAGCAAAAGTGGAAGTTAAATGTTACGCAGCAAGACCGAGCTTTACTTAGCCATCTTAACCGAAAAACAAAAATTTTGTAAACTGCAGTGAATGTACTTCACCCGACGAATATTTGAATAGAATCGCACAGGTGTGGTAGGAGGTTACGACGTCAAATGACTGTTGTAAAACTTAAAATTGCAACATTTCTTTTTCCTTAATAACAAATCATCCCTATGTGCTCACAGTAATAGCGGCATATTCACCCTAGAACTTTGTGATATGGAGTAGCCGAGGCAATATGCACCTCAACCTCTCCACAGCAAAACAGTTAAAACAGAACAGAACACCATTTTGATATTGTTTTTTATGTTTTTGTTTCATTGGTTCACATTGTGTTTTGATCCCTGGAGCACTAAAATAATCAAGTTATTTATCTCCACTCCAAGTGATTGCTTAATAAAGAACTATTAATAATAAATATTAGAAACAAATATATTTCATGTGATATTTACTACAATACCCTCTTGTTGGACTGTACGTTTGAAATGATATCGTATTACTTTCTATTATATATGATCGCTTATTTGCAGCTTTTCAAACTAATCTTTATTAACTTGCGCCTGCTCGTTTCTGCAGCTGCTAATAGAGCATCACGGCAAACTATATTAAATGGAGCGAAAGACGCGATTCAACAAAATTACATTTATATTCCGTAGTATCTCTTGAACGTTCTACCCCTCGCCCGCAAGCAATAGGGACGCTTGAGTGTTGCCAACCAGTTAATACATGTCTCCGTCCACGAGAGTAAATGGTAAAACTAAGTGGGCCCGTTCCGCTTAATTACCCTGTCTCTTTCTTTTCAGAAAATACCCATGCGCCGATGCAAGGTGATTTGCCTCACAAGATTCGCCGCTCGCTTCGTTCCCATCTTCAAAATTGTAAACAAGCCTGACGGCACGAGATGCGATGTAAGCCCTCCATCCAACCAATCGTACAAGCTACAAGAGAGATGTAAAGATTACTGGTGTATCCAGGGGTGTGACGGTGTTCTTTCCCCCCTCCACCATTGAAATGAGTCAATTTCGCATGCGCCTATGTACACGTGGTATTGGCGTCAAAAGACAGTGAACAGCGGCAACCATTTTCAGTGCGTGCCCTCATTTTGTCCTCACTGACAGGTGCGCGCATGTGGTTCGGCAGCACTGCAGCGCATATATGCGCGCCTGTCCATGGTGATCGACGAACCCTATACCACAGACAATGCTTGCCACTGTTCGGGTTTCATTTCACGCAAGCAAACACAAACAGATACATAAAGTACGGTTCAACTCGCTAAAATAAATGTCCGGCTGCACTATTGTAAAAACAAAGCATAAAACGTCACCGCGGTAAAAAGAAAAATATTTCCGTGAAGTCAACAGTCCAGTAACGAGGCCTGTCTACGGCCCCGTAAAAGACAAGCCTTTTTTTTTCTTTTTTATTGTGGATATACTAAATATGCAAAAAAACACACACACTAGAACATACATAAACAGGGTTCGAAATAAATTTCACCCCTGACATTTTACAGAAAAGAGTCCATTTCTGGAAATGTTGATTCTAACGACACTCCTGATCACTAATTAAGAAGTATATGATGCATGTCAACGAACTCGGACATATATAGCCCGAAAAACCTATGCCGTCACTGATACATAGTCTAATATTAGTATTTGTATTTTTATATCCGCATGTCTGTATGGGTACAACTAAATTACAGACACGACATACCATAAATCACCCTGATTCGTTCTTTCTTCTCTTGCGCAATAAGAGGAGGAATATATATATATATATATATATATATATATATATATATATATATATATATATATATATATATATATATATATATAACGGCTAACATTAAAAGAATATATTCATATGAGAGAAACATCAGTGTTTAGAATCTGGCATCTTTTGTAGCCTGAGTGCTGCTTTGACACCTTAAATTAAATTAGAAAACGAGACTTCCGGGGCACCCCTACACTGCAAAAGCAGCAGCGTTCACGTCGACATGTTGTGAAGCGCGTTGGTCAAATATATCACAGGAAAGTGTTCTTACAGTGCACGAATATTTTGTGCATCATGAAAAGGAAAACAATGAATTTATTGCCTACTACGGCACTGGGCAACTTAGTTTACTAAGAAAACACGTGAACAGAACACATACGGTTCTCTGTGGTGCACTTTAGCGCAGTGCCCATAGATCTCGCCAATAAGGCTACCATTTTTAGCTTGATCCAAATGTTTAGCGGCGATACAACAACGGGCTCAATGGCGGTGGTCATGAAGGTAACAACTTTACTGAAAATTCCAGCAAATACGTGGCTTGAGCCTGTAGGCCACCCCCTAGGAGGCCCTTAGAACCTGACTGTAAGCCGCCTCATGGCTGAATAACCCACATGCAGTTGATACGTACGGCTTTATAATTATGGAGTACTATGTACTGGTGGCACAAAACAAGCTAACAGTTGTGTAAGCTAACACTTGTGTTATGTGCTGTTTTTCTTTCACTTTCATCTCTCTCTTTTCTATCTTTCGTTCCCCTCTTCTCTGTTCTCATGTACATAGTAGCAAAGCTGCTTTTTTGACCTTGTCAACCTCCACGCTTTTTCTCCTCTACTATTTATCTTTTTCTTAACTTATTAAACACATCAGTATTACGAGAGTGACGGCTGCGAGCGCACCTATGGTAGATGAGAACGATGAACGATGCCGCATTCGCAGCTCGCGCTCAGAGACCGCTTACTGGCAGTCGCAACCAAGAGTTGAGCGAGTTATGACGCGTCCCTTTCTGCCTCAGTCTCGTCCCTAAAAGCTTCCGGCCTAGCCACTGCCTTAAGCCTTACTCTCTACTGTATAAGAATGTAACAGTAAAGTAAAAGGACGTCCCCTCTGCGAAATATTTCAACACTGACAATTCAGAGTTTGTAGGAGAAAAAAAAAAGCTTAAACCAATAGTCTTCCTGTGTAGATCGAATATTTTGTGCGCCCGATTTCTCAGAAAAGTAGAACTGGAAATTAAGCCACTCCGGGCCACTCGACCAGCGTGCTCCCTATTGTTCTCAAAGTTCTGCTCGAGGCTGTTTCATATAGAGACCATGTTAAACCGCGCAGACTGCCCTTTCTGAAGAAGATCACGTGCTTTGGGCGCATACGCCTGAGGTACATTCACGACAGCCCTGATTTTATGGCATATTTGGGCATGGAAAGAACGAAGAAGAACAAACGATAAGGTAGGGAGGTCAACCAGGCATATACCCGGTTGGCTACCCTACGCTGGAGGAGTGTAAGCAGGGAGTAGGGAGTATACAGATGAGAGAGTGAGGAGAGAGAGAAAAGAGACGAAAAAATTGTGAGTAAATGAACTGACGCGTACTAAAGTCAAAGGCGTTCCGATGGGCTCGTAATCCTCAAAAAGTGAAAAAGGGGGCTTTGACTGTCTCTTGAGACGAATAAAGACGAGGATGGTGCTCCAGCAGCATCTGGCTCAGAAAGTGGCCGATAGTCCTATTATCGCGACGCGTCAGAAAGTTTACATCTCCCAGAGGCAAATCGAGGGCAACGACATAGCAGATGATCGGTGTCATTCTCCGTGCCGCAGGCCTCGCATGCCGCACTGTCGGTTACTCCAATCAGAGCTCACGCCCCACCTGTGAGGTTGCAAATCTGCGCCACAAGCGGTATACTTCAATCGACTATCCACGATTACAAGCTATACTCTCATGCGGGTGAACAGGCACGCATTCCTACCTTTCCTACCAACTAGCACAACAGGCAAAGAATAGTTGCAAACCTGCATCATCAGTCCATAGTCACTACTCTACCGTCGCTCCAAAGCATCAGGTGCCAACCTTGAGAAGCCACCGTAATTATGTCCTTAAAGAAACCGTCAAAGTGACGGGAAAATGTCAGCAGCATTCCAAGTACTTTACCGTCCAATATGACAGGTCATTTTTACAGCATATAGCTGCATTGAGGAAAGAAGCACACGTACGCCATTTGACTACCGGTGTAACACAACCTGTAGGAAGGCGTTTGCTTGTTGTGTGAAGAAAAGAATGTAAAAGTTGTACTCTATAGTATTACGTTATTTTAAAAAATAGCTATGGCGTATGTTTATAAGAAGGCATCGCACTTATACCGGTGTGTTCGTGGCTTTCACAAGAGGTGCCTCGGTGCATTATTATGCACAGCAGGGGTGCAACGTTGAGCGGTGTAAAACGCACCACTGACAACGTTTCGTAACGCTTTTCTTTTTTTGTCTTTCCTCGCAGAGACTACTGTCCGGAATGAAAGGCCGTTGTGAAAAAGGAAGATGCGTGCTTGCCGGCGTGCTGGGTTTCTTTATTAATAAAACTCCTCTAAAGCACATCGGATAATTAGGTGATTTCGCACGCAATCAAGGTATGCCGCGGACCAAGAAAACCCGATGTTTGCATCTGAACTTGAAAAAGTATACTGTAATAAAGCCTTTTTGTTTTGTTAGCTCATTGCTGTCTTTCACCCATATTCCTTTTTGTGACCAATGATGGCTTAGTTTGCCTGACGTCTGTATCCCTTTGGTGACCCGACTCATTCGTAAGAATGAAGTCTAAAACCAACCATGTGTTCCTGTTGACTGAGTGTTAAAAGCAATAAAAGGTCTTCGCATGCAGCGGCAGCAGTACTGAAAGGCATTCAAGAGTCTCTCCGTGGAGCTCATTTAATTCAGAAACTATCTTTGCATAAAGCACCGCCAGTGATGCGCAAAATCTTTACAAAAATGCGCCCACTAATTAAACCCTATGCAAACGATATAACTTGAATATCCTGTCTAAGCTATGGATGCTGGATTACGGAACACGTGAGCCGCCACCGGTGCGGCATTTTCCGAAACGAGACATCCGTAACGTCTTTTTGTTACGGGAGCTTCTTTTTTTTTAATTACGATTTCAATATAAAGTAAACATATGGCTGTGTATGATAGGAAACATCTTCGAAAAATGTAAAACTGTAGTTCTTTGTTGCACGGACATGTATAGCGCTCTTAAATGTACAAATCGTTTATCGCTTGTTAAACGTCCTAGTGACGCGTCAAATAGAATGTTTAAACGCGCCAAAGAGAATGCTTTTTGAAGAACGGAGCATAGTGATCAAGGAGGTTTCACAAATTCTACTCGAAATGTCTGACGCTCTTAAAGCCATGTAGCTTTGGGGCTGTTACTTTAGCGCAAACTTCAAGAACTAGAAAAGAGAAATTGCGACAAACAATCGTCTTTCATTTCTAAAGTTTGCACTAAATAAACATCAATGAATTACCAGCAAATTCGAACATGTACACTACTAATAATTTGGTTAAATATTTGTAAACAGTGAAAGAGACGAACAAGTTGAGCTTGTTGGCAGCCCAGATTGCCAGGCGCAAGCCCAGCGCACTTGTAGGGAATACCTGAACGAACCAAACAACCATCAAACTATCAACCATCCGCAAAATATATCTGCAGTGTAGCGTCTATGGCACTAGAAATAATAGACCGAAAACTTTGAAGAATTGATAGCTGGCCGGGCTAGGTGGCAAATGATTGCTAAGCATCTTGAACACAGCGCTGATACGACCAGACACCCGAGACCCGTATTCACAAAAACGTCTTGCGCTAAAATTTTTCGGGAGAGAATATTTTAGCCAATTCTGATGCGGGGCATATCATTAGCGATGCCGACTGACCAATGGGAAAACGCAGCTACGAACGAGAAGTTTTGTCTATTCGGCCCCAAATGCATAGAGGACAATTCAAAGTACTGCGGTGTCTCCTTAACTCTTTTCTTCTAGTGTCCTTGTCGTATTTGACCTGTGTTCAAGCCGTTAGAAACATCGTCTTAAGTTGTAACTATGGACGGGCTATACACCACCACTGAGAAACTAGAAACCATAAGAACACTTGTTGCCGCATTATGATACACTTCAAGCGGGAGGCATTGAACTAGTCTTAACAAAAGAAGCTGCACGAGGTTCTGACTTGAAAAAAAGAAATTTCATATCACTTAAGATATTCAGCAACATATAAGAGAACAATCGCGCAAAGTTCTTGGCGTTCGACTCTGTAGGTTTCTTTCGTTATGTGCGCTGCCTGCCCCCTGAAACAACTTTGAGAAATAACCGCCCCCTTTCATTCGCGCTGAAGTTCAGACAACTAACGAAATGAAGACTTTATTTAGAACGCGACAGCTGCAGCACATTAAATGCAAAGATGGAGCTCAGACACGCCAAGCCGAAACGTAGTTAGTGGGCACGCAGTGACGCTGAGAACCTTCGGTGCGAATTCTGCAATGGCAAAAAAAAAAAAAAGGAAGGAAGCCGTAGTAGGCTTATATAACTTTATGAAATATCACCTCGCCTTTTGAGAAAATTTATTCCGCCGCGACACCGTGGCGCTTTCTGGACAATATTTCGTTCCCGCGATTTCCTACATCTTCTCGTCACTGCTTTAGGCGCTCCTCTCATATTGATGCTTTTCAGCTAGATTTTCTTTCTTTTTTTCACTTTTCGTAAAGTTTGAAATACCTCCACAAGCTCGTGGAGAGATTCAGCTACATCTGGGCTTACTTTTACAATGAAATATGTATTTCATAATTGTTGTGACAGCTTTTAAACCATATTGTTCCTCTTCTTTTCTCATTAACAAAAATCCTTGGGAAGTGTCGGTGCTCTTATATACCGTCAGCTACCTCTCTTTACAGACAATAGTATGCGTGAAAATTACTGTACTAAAAAAACATTTGAAAATCATCTGTGTGACAGTTCACGTAAGTCAGTCGAGCCAAAATCACAAAATTCAAGTCCACTCGCATAGCAACACCAAAAAAACAAAAAAGCCTCAAATAAACGCCAGTCACCTGACACTGTAATTCGTATGCAATTATGTCGCACGTATGCCGGTTATGATAAAAATGACGATAGATGTAATGCACAGCCACATAAACACACTGAGATAAGCAAAGTCCAAACACAGGGACGTGCTACAAGTTGCTCCTTTGTTAAATATTACGTGTAGGCCCAATCGTTATGTTGTTGATTCCTCGAGTTTCTTTAAGTGACATACACTATTGTTCCAAAGTTTCATTTTCATGCAAGTTCTGATTATTTCGAGGCAATTATTTCGAACGCACAATTCAGTGCGCAGAACTTCAAATACGAACTACTTATGAATCTAAGCAAAATTAAGATTCGAAGCTCTCATTTGTAATTAGCGAAGTTTTTACATCACCCTGGTACAGTTTACAATTTAACTGGCAGCATGTCTAAGAACTGGCTAACCTCCCTGTCCTCCCGCTTAATCTTTTCTCCTCCTTCACTGGCAAATATATAATCTTTACTTCGTATGTCATGAATCGTTCGCATAATTTTGCTTCGGAATTTAATGTTTTTAGCTAACGTGGTTGCTTGGGCGAGTTGGTACGACATTATTCACGTAAAAACAGCGCCAATAACACTGTCTGTCTCCTTCTTTACTTGTTCCTCGTTGATGGCGCTATTTTTATGTGAATTAATGTTTTTCTTTTGTTGATTGCACAGCAAATTGTGATGTAGTTATCATTGTTTCTTGCTTTTGTTGTCGTCATCATCGTAAAATCGTAATATGCAATGCACGGGGCAGGGGGTTCTCTCTAAATCACCTCACAGGGGGACGTAAAGCCTTCCCACACACTGAATTGGGGGGGGGGGGAGAAAGTGTTGTAATCAACATTCTTCACTCACCCCCCTTTAAGCGCAACGCTGCGCACTTCTAAATAGGGTACAGAACCCTTCTTTGCAGAAAAGAGAGAAGAACAAAATAGACTTCATACGCTCATAGAGCGTCATTATGTTTTCTTTCACTCAATTTTTTCTGTCTCTCGAACGCTATACAATTACTTCGATTCCGATGAACACGCCGGACACAGAGAAACAACCTCGTGTGCGCACTCCTTGCATCGAGTGTGATTGACACCTGCTATACGCAATCCGCGCGAGGGTGTCACGCACCCTACCAAAGGTGAACGGAGACGCGTTGTTTTCGCCGTAAAAACTGCAGCCTCGTGAATAATGCGTCCAGGTACTCTATGCAGGCGCCAGAACCCTTCACTGAACAAGCACGGCAAGCGAACCCGCGCCGCAGGCCGCTTAACGGGCTTATACAAGCGACGTTTCGTTTCAACAACTAGCCGGAAGCAAGGTGGCAATGCGAACCCACCGCCTCCATCGAAACTCCCTCGTAGCGGCAGCACCCACACATACCTTCGACCAACACCTGGTCTTCTTGTGTCTCATATCGTTTCTGTATGCATTCGCCAGGGCCCGTGTTTTATTTATTTATTTTTCGCCCATCGAGTTTGTACGGAAACCGACGACAACGGTTTCTCGGCAGCTGTTGCACGCCGCTTCATGCATTATATTGGTGAGCACGCGTTAAATCTACCCCGCAAGTGCGCCTTCTGTGTCGGCCATCGGCTGCAGAGGTCCTCGTGGATATCGTCACTGTATGGCGAGATGGCCCCGAGTTTCGTCATGCACCTGAGGGCAGCGTAGAGATAAACGTGACCGATCTTGAGGAGTTTACCACTTTTGACTTTCCAGCAGTGAAAGTGGAATCGATTTGCGTGCCTGCGTTGGTGCCGTGCGCTGCGGCCGCCATTCTATTGAAACCCCGCTGCTGCTTCCGGGAAACGCCTGCGGAGATGACGTGTTAAGTCGCCGAAAAGGTACGAAGAATAAGTTTGATTGGTCACAAGTTGGGCCCTAAATTTAGCGTGCTCTTGGAAGTCTGTGCTCTTCTTTCTCCTTCAGTTGTTTGCCTATGATGCGTGCGGTAGCTATATTATGTTTAATTAGAACTTCTGACAACGTCCTTTGTCTGACAAGATCTGACAAAAATTCTGACGTCATTTGTCAGCCATCTGCAAACGTCAGCATACATCATCCACGCACTAGCTCTTGTAGCACTTGCGTGTAACGAGATCTACTTTTGTGGATTTATTGAACGAAGTTAATGTATTTAAGCGACAGCCTTATATGTCTCACCAAGCACGAAAATCGAACGACACGCTCCGTCAGCGGCATTGACACGAGGGATGAAAAAATCCCCGTCGCGTGATGCCGTCAAAGCACGAGTTCATCGTGACGTCCAAGATCAAGAAATTTTCTGACGTCATCACATAACGTGCCGTCAGATGGTGACATGGATAGATGGTGACATGGTGACGTCAGATGGTGACATGACATGGATCATATGACATGGATGCTTGGTAACGTGTGGTCAATCCCCGGAGGCAATGCTAAACAAAGAGAGTTGCAGAAAGCTTACGATGCCACCGATATCGTACTCGGGCATTGCAAAATAATGATAGTGTCAGAAAGCTTTCGAAGGATGGCGCGAAGCTTCAATACATTGACTTAGAAACGAAGAAGAACAAGATGGCTTTCGCCTTCGAGTCGACCGAGACGGACGCATATGGAACCCTGAGAGGCTTTTTT